CTCTTTAATCTACTTAATTCATTTACTCATGATACGAGCATAGCTGTAGCCGCCATGGCCACTTGCAACCACTAAGCAAACATTCTCACACCGTCACGGTATGTTGACCACGCGATGTCGACATTCTGGGTTTTTTGTTTTGTCGACAGTTAGGGACATCCTATTTTTCATTTGTCGACAGATCGGGCTGACACCGGGCAGGAAGTGACAGTGTATTGATTTCTTTCCTTAATTACCCAGTTGGGGCTCCCTAATTAACCTTTATTTGTTCTGAAGCAGCATAGACTATTTATTTTATTTGGAAGTGGTTATTGGCAAATGTCAATAGGATTGACAAGACATATTTCAATACAGTTAAAGCTCTCACAATACTGTTTATGTTACAAGAATTACAAATTAAAAGTAATATTTCATATTCAACAATTTCTTTATTTTTACTGTTTCGACGTGTATGTTTTGATATTATCTGTTCGTACACGCATACCATTGACGAGCCACATTTCCAATTGCACTGAGTTATTTCGCATGTTGTACGTTAACAAATTAATAAATAAGCTACTGTACTAGGGCTTATCTTGCTGTGGTTTCTGGTCTGTTTTATGAATCAATGTATCATTGAAGCAGTATGTCAGATACAGTTTCCAACACAAGGTAGTACCTTTGTGTTGTTCTGTGAAGCCATATCACATACAAATGATAGAACTCTGGATCATTCGCAGATTGTTGCGAAGCGGCATTTTTGACATTTTCAGTCATCACTCGATCCTGAACTGGGTCACCAGTGTTATGCCCTTGGTGGTAAAAAAACGATGCTTTTTCAGTGCTTCTGTATTCTCAAATCATCTACTATACAATATCACGTCATACTGTAGTTAGATAACTTGTTCCATGGCATTACTTCTAATGTTTTAAGTGCCTAGTGACTACATATGATGATGATTATGAGTTTAACGTCAGCTTCTGGCTGTAGCCAATAACGCCGACAGGGTAGGTGGGAGCTAAAGTAATAATTAATTTGTTTATAATAAGGTATAAACCGCCATACCCCAAAAATGTAAATGATGGGGTGTTAACCTAAGTGAATTTTGAATGAAAACGGCTACAAACAAGAAAATAAATATATGGCGGCGTCTGTAAATAATCGAGTCTGGACCAGACAATCCAGTGACCAACAGCATGAGCATCGATCTGCGCAATTGGGAACCGATGACATATGTTAACCAAGCCAGCGAGCCTGACCACCCGATCCCGTTAGTCGCCTCTTACGTCAAGCATGGGTTACTGAAGGCTCATTCTAAGAAGTGAAGTGAAAAGGTTATCTTAGCCATTATGTGTGTAGAAGGTGTAGGAGTATAGCTTATGAATTTGGTAGTACAGTTAAGCTGCAGCTGATAAAAATACAGGGTCCTAATAACCAAATTAAATTGGGTTACACTTTAACTGTAAGCATAAACGTTGACCTATGGGGCTTAAAGAGTTGATGTAGGACGGCTGGCGAGTTTGAGCACAGACAATCACTTTGGACTTATGGGTGGTCTCTGTTTTGTCATCACGTGGACTACTTTATATGCTGATAACGTACACTGAAGTATACAGGCTTGACACTCTCAAACGTCATGATACTTGACAGCCCTGGCAATCACACGACACAAGCCAGCAGTGCATGATACAGAATGATACGGGCATGTTGGAGTAGTTAGAGATATAATATACAGTTAGAGATACAATTATGTAATATGCTTTGAATGTATCTGGACGTCTGTGGTGAGTCTATCGGCAGTGTCTGGTTCGTGCAACTTGATTACTTGCCTGTAAGATAGATAAAAGTAATCGTGAGAGACCTTTATCATCTTTGTTCGCACTTTGTTCCTGTAACAATACGTTAAAATCTTGATAGTGTTCTGACACTAGTCCTCTATCCATTTTTTAATATCGTTCTAAGTTAGTTGAATTAAGTCAAAATGAGTTGAAATTTGTGACATGATGCTTATAAACATACACTCATTCATTTACAATCTCTAAAACATAAATTTTGAGCGAAATTAAACATTCTCGCCCATGGGCGAGATTTTTAATATCGCTCTAAGCTAGTCGAATTAAGTCAAAATGAGTTGAAATTCGTGTCATGATGCTTTAAACATATACTCATTCATTTACAACCTCCAAAACATGAATTCTGATCGAAAATAAACATCCTCGCCCATGGGCCACTGTTCGCCCATGGGCAGGCACATGGGCGAGCTAGTTTAAATTTCCAGTTTTCGAAAAAAATTTTTTTCATTTTTTCATCCTTGGCATATATTCATAACAACTGCATGTTTCATTTGGTCAAATCTCTTGTCAGGAAGTGCCCACAGTGCGGAGAGTTTCTGGACTTTTGTGAGTCCAGAATTAAATTGTGACGTGTTATAGTTATTACTGTGTAACCGTGTTAACAACAACCTGTAGGCCTGGAGGTGTGACACTGTACGCTGATCTCGAATAAGATGCATAGTTATTACTGTGTCACTGTTAACAGCAGCTTGTATGCCTGGGCCTGTTTGTTCAAAAGCCTGTTAAATTTTAACGGACCGTTATGTAGTCTTTAACGGACCGTTAAAGTTTAGAGAGCGAAAGCCCGTTGCTCAAAGCTCCGTTAACTTTTAACGGCCCGTTAAGACCACGTTAACTTAACGGAAGCGGAGGGGGTACATTACCTCACTAACGTTACCATTAGCATCAGTTCTAGACCTAGCTGCATGGTGACAACATGGCGTTTATTGTCCAGCATAATGCAGCTTCATGAACATTAGACCTAAGGAATTCAGACTTAAAATTTCAGCATTTTCTTGATACATTGACTGAATTACATTTTCTTCATCGGTGCTGATTTTTTAAATTCTTTTTCTTTTCTTACAGTCAGACGTTACTGAGGTGATCATTTGCGATGCCAATTTGACAGGGAATCATGGGACAGTGTGCAAGGAATTCTGAGTAATGGTAAGGTCCTTAAACCTCTAATCATACCATTAGTTAAAAGCCTGTTAAAAACACCTTCCAGCAACCAAATTTTAACGTACTGTTAATTAACTTTTCTTTAGCTATTTAACGGGACGTTAGTGTTTAACGGTACGTTAAAATAACGGTGCTTTGAACGATCGGGCCTTGGAGGTGTGACACTGTACGGTGATCTCCAATAAGATGCATAGTTATTACTGTGTAACCGTGTTAACAGCAACTTGTAGACCTGGAGGTGTGACACCGTACGGTGATCTCCAATAAGATGCATCGTTATTACTGTGTAACCGTGATAACAGCAGCTTGTAGGCCTCGTGGGGTGACACCGTACGGTGATCTCCAGTAAGATGCATCGTTATTAATGTGTAACCGTGTTAACAGCAGCTTGTAGGCCTGGAGGTGTGACACTGTACAGTGATCTCCAATAAGATGCATATTTATTACAGTGTAACCGTGTTAACTGGAGCTTGTAGGCCTGGAGGTGTGACACCATGCGGTGATCTCCAATAAGATGCATAGTTATTACTGTGTAACCGTGATAACAGCAGCTTGTAGGCCTCGTGGGGTGACACCGTACGGTGATCTCCAGTAAGATGCATCGTTATTAATGTGTAACCGTGTTAACAGCAGCTTGTAGGCCTGGAGGTGTGACACTGTACAGTGATCTCCAATAAGATGCATATTTATTACAGTGTAACCGTGTTAACTGGAGCTTGTAGGCCTGGAGGTGTGACACCATGCGGTGATCTCCAATAAGATGCATAGTTATTACTGTGTAACCGTGGTAACAACAACTTGTAGCCCTGGTGGGGTGACACTGTGCGCTGATCTCCAATAAGATGCATAGTTATGCACAGTGTAAACAGCAACTTGGAGGCTTGGAGGTGTGACACAGTACAGTGATCTCCAATAAGATGTATAGTCATTACTGTGTAACCGGGTTAACCGCAGCTTGTAGGCCTGGAGGTGTGACACTGTACGGTGATCTCCAATATTATGTATTGTTATTACTGTGTAACCGGGTTAACCGCAGCTTGTAGGCCTGGAGGTGTGACGATGTCCACTATGAGCAAAGGTTGGTGGGGACCAGTTCCCCCCCCCCCTGGATCCCGATGGCCACCTTGTGACGACAAGATTAACGAGACCTACAACTACACTATTACAATAACCACATCGTTCCGGCGTTCTATAACCGTGACATACTACTAGCGTTGGCTGTGTAGGGTGATGCTGGCTGGAGGAAGGGAGGTGAACAGAACACGTATTGACCATGCACTCTCCTCTCCAGGAATGTTGAACAAAGCCAAACACACACAAACAAACAAACATAAACACACACACGCGCGCACACATACACACACACACACGCAAACACATGAACACATGCAAACAAACATAAACAAGCTCAAACATACACATAAACACTGACATAAAAACAGTCAAACGCATACACACACACAAACATATACAAATGTACAGATCAACACACACACATAAGCACACACTAACACAGTCAAACGCACACACACATAAACATACACACAAACAAACATACAAACACACATACAAACAATATACAAACATGCACATATGAACACACACAAACACATACACTCTCTCTCTCACACACACACACAGCGAATGAAGAAAAAAACTAAATAAGGTAAAAAACAAGACAACCATTTGTAGTAAAGAGAAGTCTCTTTAATGTTATAGATTTTCAATCTTTTTCATGTATATTTTATACTCAATAAAACGTAGATTTGATTGACATTATTTAGTTTTGGTCTTTCAAGAAAGAATTACTTTCGACTATGAATGAGTTCACTACATTTGTATAAGTTCAAATTTATATAATTTTAAATCACGTTACTGGTTATACGCAATCGCTGCCAAAGGCTCGTGAATCACCTCTGCTATAAACTAAGAATATAGCGTTCCTTTAAAATAGAATCAAGTTTTAATCACATTCATGCCTTATTTGTAAAACATCTGCATCATATTCAGTGAAACATACTCCTGCCCAAAGGACCATGTCTTTTAACCTTCAAAGTTATGGTGGCAATGATGGAAGGGTAGGGTTCGGGACAACATTTGTAGTAGGCAACATTTATCCGCATGGAATGTTCGATGATGTCCCATTGATCATCATGGTAGTACTCTGAGACGTCAATCTCGGAGGTCCTGTTCTGGACGTCCATGATGTTCCCGCTATACGTCCAGGATCCAATCTTCACCGAACAGATCACAGTGCCGTCAGATGAGTATTTGGATACATCACATCGTGTCTTGATGCTTGTTGCCGGCATATAGTTCACGAGTCCATTGTTGAACAAAATCACAGGGGCATCTGTGACATCAGCATGTCTGAAACAAAGACAACGAAGGAACCAATCATGGATGTATTGGAGATCCAATGAAAGACCAGGAACTCACCCATCGTGGATTTATTGGGGATTCAATGAAAGACAAGCAATTAACTCATCATGTGGATATATTGGGAACACTCTCATCATGGACGTATTTGGGATGCAATGAAAGACAAGGAACTTACTCATCATGGATGTATTGGGGATCCAATGAAAGACAAGGAACTCACCCATCGTGGATGTATTGGGGATCCAATGGGGGACAAGGAACTCACCCATCATGGATGTATTGGTGATCCCATGAAAGACAAGGAAGGCACCCATCATGGATGTATTGGTGATCCCATGAAAGACAAGGACCTTACCCATCATGGATGTAGTGGGGATCCAATGAACGACAAGGAACTCACTCATCGTGGACGTATTGGGGATCCAATGAAAGACAAGCAATTAACTCATCATGTTTATGTATTGGGAACGCACACGTCATGGTCGTATTGGAGATCCCATGAAAGACAAGGAGCTCACTCATCTTGGGTGTATTTGGGATCCAATGAAAGACAAGGAAGGCACCCATCGTGGACGTATTTGGGATGGAATGAAAAACAAGGAACTCACTCATCGTGGGTGTATTGGGGATCCAATGAAAGACAAGGAAGGCCCTCATCGTGCATGTATTGGTGATCCCATGAAAGACAGAGGAACCCACTCACCATGGATGTATTGGAGATCCAATGAAAGACAAGATACCTACCAATCATGGATGCGTTGAGTGGGAAAAGTGACGAGCAAAAGAAAGTACACTGGTGTAATTGTTGTTGCAATCCCAAATATGCGTTCTAGCTAATAAAATTATTGAAAAACATTGATTGTATAGAACGCAACCATCATGTTGCATTTGCGAAAATGCAACCAAAAACATCTGTACGTGTTTTGCACGAAGTTTTGCAAAATTGTGATTATTGTCCCATGCACCAGCACTTTTCTGACAGAGAGTATAAAACCTGTTTGTCGTGAAGACTGAACAATCACTTGACAGAAATCGCACGAGGAAATGCCAAGATTGACATCGGCGCAACGAAAATAGGCCAAAGGAATCACAAAAATATGTGCTTTCAACTGCGATATTGGGTTGCACAAGACAAACCATAATTCGTCTGTTTAACCGTTTCAGTACGACAGGCCTGACATGTGATCGACCCAGAAGTGGACGTTCCGGTGTCACAACATCCCAAGAGGATCGCTATCTGCGGGTTATTATGTTGACGGTGACGTCATCAGCAGCCACATAATTGGGTCATCGCGTAAGCCGATTCACAGTGACAAGACGACTTCGTCCTGCTGGCATGTATGGGCCTACCGACCGCTGCGTGGAATGGCCTTGACCTTCCAGCATCGTAGGAGCCGTCTGCAGTGGTCATCGCTACGTCGCTGTGTATTGTTACAATGTCATTTTGCTGATAAAACACGTGTATTGCAGTGTGCTTCAACATACATTTTCCATTTCATCAAAAGGTTTTGTTATTTTTATCTTATTGGAAGAAACATAACCTGTGTACTTTCCTTTGCACATCAGTTTAAATAGAAAGGTGTTTTTTTACACTTTCCGAATAAAATGAATAAAACAATATATACTCTCCCAAAAAAGAAACGCATCATGAAAATAGCAATTTCATGTAGCAATGAAATAAAACGGGATTCATTTTACAACAGGTTTTGCTCTGTTTATGAGTCCTATGGTGTTTATGTTTTGAAACATCACAACAAAACGCACCATCCGTAAAATACCCGTATTTTACAGCATGATTTTCAATTTCAGCGTGTAGTGTCACAAAATACACAATTCACATGCAATGCACGTGAAAGTACGGGATCAGATAGTCTCAATGATTGGTATAAAACGTTGATCGTTGTCTGTCGATTATGCACTGTATTTGGAATATTGTTGACGAACGCAAAATGCCACGACTAAGTGAAGCCAATCGTCACATCGCCATTGGTTTGCTTGAAGCTGGCCAGTCTCAACGTGCAGTTGCCCGACGCATGAATGTTCACCAAAGCCCCATTTCACGGCTCTGGGAGAGATATCGCCGGCAGAATGCGGTAGCAGTTGCCCCTTAACAGCTACGGCGACCAGTACCGCTCGACAAATACCCGGATTGAGGAGGCTTTCTGCACAGACCGTCAGGAACAGGTTGAGAGAGGCTGGAAACAAAGTTTATTCGCACTCCTTAGGAGCAACTGATTAGATAAAGCAACATAACCAAGTCTTGACAGGCTCGCTATAGGATCATTCCTCTTGATATCAGCCAATCATTTCCGTAGGTCGGGGTTTAGTTAATGAGGAGGCACACTGGGGAGGCATGTCAAGAGAAATGATGAAAGCAAGAAATCCCTCTAGTATTATAAGGGCGCCAAGGCTGCTGGACAGGACATCAACATGGAAGTTGATGGGAGTGGACGATGGGAGTAAAGTCATTTACCACGTCTGCCCAAATTCTGTCATTTAAGGAGAAGCTACCTGGGAGGCCACTGCAACTCGTATATATGCTTGTTTAGGACAGAGTGGCAATCTAAGTCGATTCCTTTGCCTGGATGAAGTCGGCCAGTCGGCAAGGTGAAACAGAGGGCTTTCCTCCTGCTGCCGGGGATCAGTCACTTCACACTGGCAAACGCCAATACGTGTTTCATATTGTAAACGTTAGTTTGAAATATTGACTATAACATCTGCTGAGACTGATCAACACCTTGTCAGTGAATGAACAGCCTTGCTACAAGCAGCATAATATTACAGAAAACTAAGATCGTTGAAATTAACATCGTCTCCCATATCTGCACGTGGACCACGCTTTGCAGTGGTAGTCTTTTTATAGTCTTCCTTTGGGAAGTTTATCTGTATCATAAATTGCAACTGTGTAATGTGACTAACAAATTGTCTGCTTTTAAATTTCGTGTTATGACTTTTCTGTTTTTAAATGACAACGTAATGAATAGATGTTTTTAATAAAACTCATTTTGACTTTGTATTTACAATGTCTATTAATGCAGAATAAAGCTGTCTTTTGCAGTATTCAAGAACATTCCATGAAATATCACCAAATTAACTGACCGTTCAGGCTGATATTCAGTCATAGTATAAAGAAATATGTTATGAAGGCTCACAGCAAACTGTCTATAAAAGAAACATTTTGAAAATATACATCTTGTCTGCTGAGGAGTAGCAAATGGGTGACTGTTTGGAAACCCACTGGGGGATTTGGAGGTTTTAAAGATGATTTGAAAGTACGACTGCCATGGCCGCTGATTCAATGCAGCTGACACAAACTGCAGAAAAACAAACAGGAACGCACAGCCAAGCACAGCAAAGGACAGGCCTCTGGAGAGATTATATCCTTCCAATTCCAGAACACTAACTCTTTTGAATATAGACCTAAGAACAACGGAGTTACTGTTAAAAAGGGAACTATTTCTGTGGGCACTGGTAAACCAGGACGTGGGCAGTGCTAGATTTTACTGGCGCTTCCTGTGAGATGAGATAACTAACTAACTGAAGGAAGCGCCAGTAAAATATAGCAACACTCGATGCTTCCTTCAGTTAGTTATGTCACAACTGAAAAAATGCGAAATCCTCATGTCCAGCCCTGTTTGTGGCGTAGTTGTGGCGTAACTATTGACTCTTACATAATAACAATGTGAAGCAAAATTGTTCCACATTTTATTATCTACAGTGTGGTACCTTTAAAAAGGAAATCCATTGTGCTTTCGCTGAGCGGTGAACCCTATAAAAATGTGTTTTGCCAAAAATTGACCAACTTCCAAGTGCAATAACTCCGACACTATTCAAGATATCAACATGCATTGAACAGCCTAAGTAGTCCGGAGTATGGGTTTCAAAACGATATATAGAACACTATTGTATTATTTGCCGGTCAGGAGCAGAAGATTGTTAAACACAGGCACCGTCAAAAAGTTGCGGAAATTTGCGAAATCGCGAAGGTTGTCTTTGTGTCGTAATGGTGACGTTATTATTGATTTTTACATAACCATGATGTGAAGCAAAATTGTTTCCAATCCAATTACCTACAGTTTGATACTATGGAAAATTTTGCAGAGTTGTGACCTTTTTCTTAACCCTATGAAAACGCGTCTTAAAAAATTCACCAACTTTCAAGGGCGATAACTCCAAAACCATTCAAGATATCGACATGCCTTGAACAAATTAAGGTGTCCAGAGTATAGGCTTTCCAACGGTGTATCGAACGCGATTGTACTATATGCCGTTCTGGAGAAGATTTTTAAAGACAGGCACCGTCAAAACGTGGAAATCGACAAAAATTCAGTCTTTTCAAACTTGCGGAAAATTTGACCTACCGGCCAACTTTTGCTATGTGTTGAATCGTTGAAGAAAGGTGTTGTCTACATTGAGTGAAAATTTGGTCAATTTTTCTCTTATAGTTTTTGAGTTATTCAGGTGTAAAGATTTCGACATTTTGGGTTCTCTGCCCTTACCGGAAGCCGGAAGTCGGGATTTTTTCAACATTGTATCAATTTCAGCATACAGGTTATCATCCCTGAAAGTTTCATGAAAATCGACCCAGCGGTTAGGTCAGGAGAGCTGTTTCAAAATTTGTACAAATAATAAGAAGAAGAATATTCGGATAATAACAGTAGGTCTTCCAGACATTCGTCTGAAGACCTAATAATAATAATGTGGGTATTTACATAGCGTTACATCCAGGTACTAATACCCGCTCATGGCGCTACGTACAATACTATAGGAGAAAAAAAATAGTTAAAACTATTTACAGAGAGACAACTGAACATAGAAAGTCTAGTAACAGGCAAGACGAAAAAAGTGGGTTTTTAGAGACGATTTAAATGTGTCCAAAGATTCAGCATCCTTGGTGTGAGTGGGCAAGTTGTTCCAGAGACCGGCGGCTGCTTGTTGGAATGATCTTTTCCCATAGGATGGGAGTCGAACTTTAGGAATGACAAGTAGCTGGTGATTCTGGGATCGTAATGGTCGGGTTGGGATGTACTGACTGGGGTATTGTTTGTCCATGTAGAGCTTTGAAAGTGATAAAGAGAATTTTGAAGTCAATCCGGAATTTGACAGGCAACCAGTGTAGAGACATCAGTGAAGGTGTGATATGATCTTTCTTGGACTTGAGGCAGACGATGCGAGCTGCTGAATTCTGTAATTTTTAAGTTTCTGAAGTTGAGTTGACTGCCGAGGGGTGAAGGCGTCGAGTCCAAGTCATGAAAACCCGTAACCTTGACTGACATGGATTTGGAATAAGTTGGGTGTCCTTTCCATTGCCCTTTTGCTTGCAGAAAATTGTATTCAAACTGACATTGATGGAGAACAATGTGGGTGTCCTTTCCATTTCACTCTTGTCAGTGTCAACTCCACTTTTCTGCCCGTTACTCAGTAATTGACTGACTGACTGACTGACTGACTGAGTTGGTTTTACACCGCTTTTAGCAATATTCCAGCAACATCACGGCGGGGGACACCAGAAATGGTCTTCACACATTGTACCCATGTGGGGATTCGTACCCGGGTCTGCGGCGTGACGAGCCAACCTCAGTAACTGAATTGTTTGAGAGGCATTTTAGAAGTTGTAAGGAATAGGAATGACAAGTGTTTATGGATGATCAACTTATTTATAGTTCATCTTTACCAACTTGTTTTTATCATCCATTTTCTTTGTTAACCCTCATGTACTATATATATATATATATATATATATATATATATATATATATATATATATATATATATATATATATATATATATATATATATATATATATATATATATATATATATATATCCCGCTGTACTCATTCCCCATATCATACTTGAAAACGGTATCAGCATCTATACGTAGCTATTGTAGTTTAAAGAAGTTGATCATCCATACACACTTGTCATTCATACTCAGTCATTGGTTTGTCAGGTTCAGACTCTGTTACTGGTAATCTAGAAACATGGACAGTTACAGACCAATGATGTAATATATGTTGCAGCATATGTGTTACAGTCCAGTGATGTAATATATGAGATACAATCCATAATCTAGCATATGTGTTACAGTCCAGTGATGTAATATACGTATATAGGTCCACTGATCTAACATGATCTGACACATGTGCTACAGTCCAGTGATCTAATATACGTATATAGGTCCACTGATCTAACATGATCTGACACATGTGTTCCAGTCCAGTGATCTAATAGAAGGGTTTAGGTCCACTGATCTAACATGATCTGACACATGTGTTACAGTTCAGTGATCTAATAGAAGGGTTTAGGTTCACTGATCTAACATGATCTGACACATGTGTTCCAGTCCAGTGATCTAACAGAAGGGTTTAGGTCCACTGAGCTAACATGATCTGACACATGTGTTACAGTCCAGTGATCTAATAGAAGGGTTTAGGTCAACTGAGCTAATATGATCTGACACAAGTGTTACAGTTTAGTGATCTAATATACGTGTTTAGGTCCACTGATCTAACATGATCTGACACATGTGTTCCAGTTTAGTGATCTAATAGACGTGTTTAGGTCCACTGAGCTAATATGATCTGACACATGTGTTCCAGTCCAGTGATCTAACAGAAGGGTTTAGGTCCACTGAGCTAATATGATCTGACACAAGTGTTACAGTTTAGTGATCTAATATACGTGTTTAGGTCCACTGATCTAACATGATCTGACACATGTGTTCCAGTTTAGTGATCTAATAGACGTGTTTAGGTCCACTGAGCTAATATGATCTGACACATGTGTTCCAGTCCTGTGATCTAATAGAAGGGTTTAGGTCCACTGAGCTAACATGATCTGACACATATGTTACAGTTTAGTGATCTAATAGAAGCGTTTAGGTCCACTGATCTAACATGACTTGACACATATGTTACAGTCCAGTGATCTAATAGAAGTGTTTAGGTCCACTGATCTAACATGATCTGACCTATGTGTTCCAGTCCAGTGATCTAATATACGTGTTAAGGTTCACTGATCTAACACGATCTAACCTATGTCTTACAGCCCAGTGATATGATATATGTGTTTAGGTCCACTGATCTAACACGATCTGACCTATGTGTTACAGTCCAAAGTCAGCTGTACGACCCTCTGTACAAAGAACTGAAATCACGAGACACGAAAAACACCATCCCTGTCAGCTCTAAAGGCGACACACTCAACGTGACCATCAGCTTGACCGTATTGAAGATATCATCGCTGGTGAGTGTCCATTATGGCGAGGGTGGATTGTTTAGGATTCAGGTGTATGCCAGATAAAACAGGTCTTTATTTTGGATAAACCCAGTTTCGATTAAAAACACGTGTCATTGTTTCCAGAGCTTAAGAACAGGGGATGCGGAACTTGACACGTGGATCTACTACGAGTGGTTTGACAACAGACTAACTTGGGAGCCCTCGGAATACGGAGACATTTCCGCTATCAGACTCCCTCCCTCTGATATATGGCGCCCTGACATAGTTCCCTACCGTGGGTGAGTACATTCGTCAAGACAGAGTTTGACTAGCAGACGCTTTAACCATACTCTTTTCGTATCAATTCAATTGATAACATAAAACATATATTGTTATATTCATTTTATTCGGAAAGTGTAAAAAAACACCTTTCTGTTTATTACTTTTCCCACTCAACGCATCCATGATGGTTGGCCATCCCCAATACATCCATTACGAGTGGGTTCTTAGTCTTTCATGGGATCCCCAATACATCGATGATGGGTGGGTTCCTCTGTCTTTCATTGGATCCCCAATACATCCATGATGGGTGGGTTCCTCTGTCTTTCATTGAATCCCCAATAAATCCACGATGGGTGAGTTCCTTGTCTTTCATTGAATCACCAATACATCAATGATGAGCGGGTTCCTTGTCTTTGTTTCAGACATGCTGATGTCACAGATGCCCCTGTGGTTTTGTTCAACAGTGGACTCGTGTACTATACACCACCAACAACCACCAAGACACGATGTGATGTTTCCAAATACTCATCTGACGACACTGTGAATTGTTCGGTGAAGATTGGATCCTGGACGTATAGCGGGAACATCATGGACGTCCAAAACAAGACCTCCGAGATTGACGTCTCAGAGTACTACCATGATGATCAATGAGACATAATCGAACATTCCATGCGGATAAATGTTGCCTACTACAAATGTTGTCCCGAACCCTACCCTTCCATCATTGCCACCATGACTTTGAAGGCTAAAAGACATGGTCTTTTGGGCTGGAGTATGTTTCACTGAATAGGATGCAGTAGTTTTACAAATAAGGCATGAATGTGATTAAAACTTGATTCCATTTAAAGAAACGCTATATTCTTAGTTTATAGCAGAGGTGATTCACGTGGCTTTGGCAGCGATTGCGTATTACCAGTAACGTGATTTAAACTTATATAAATTTGAACTTAAACAAATGAAGTGAATTCATTGAGAGTCGAAAATATTTCCTTCTTGAAAGACCAAAACTAAATAATGTCAATCGAAGCTACGTTTTATTGAGTATAAAATATATATGAATAAGTTTGAAAATCTTAAACATTAAAGAGACTTCTCTTTACTACAAATGGTTGTCTTCCTTTTTGTCCATTTTTAGTTTTCTCTTCATTCTCTGTGTATGTGTGTGTGTGTGAGAGAGAGAGAGAGAGAGAGAGGGAGAGGGAGAGAGAGAGTTTATGTGTTTGTATGTTTGAGTGTGTTCGTGTGTGCATGTTTGTATATTGTTTGTATGTGTTTGTGTGGTGTTTGTATGCGTGTTTTATGTTTGTTTGTGTGTGTTTAAGTGTATGTTTGAGTGTGTTTATGTGTGTTTGTGTTGTAGGGTGTGTTTGCAGGTGTTCATGTGTGTGTGTGTATGTGTTTATGTTTGTTTGTTTGTGTGTGTTTGGAACTGGTCCCCACCGACCTTTGCTCATAGTGGACATCGTCACACCTCCAGGCCTACAAGCTGCGGATAAAACGGTTACACAGTAATATCTATACATCTTATTGGAAATCACCGTACGGTGTCACCCCACCAGGCATATAAGTTCCTGTTAACAGTGACACAGTAATAACAATACATCTTATTGGAGATCACGGTACTGTGTCACACCTCCAGGCCTACAAGTTGCTGTTAACACGGTTACGCAGCAATAACTATGCATCTTATTGGAGATCACTGTACATTGTCACACCTCCAGGCATATAAGTTGCTGTTAACACTGTTACACAATAATAGCAATAGATCTTATTGGAAATCACCGTACGGTGTCATCCCACCAGGCTAACAAGTTGCTGTTAACAGTGACACAGTTATAACTATGCATTTTATTGGAGTTCGTCGTACAGTGTCACACCTCCAGGACTACAAGTTGTTGTTAACACGGTTACACAGTAATAACTATACATCTTATTGGAAATCAACGTACAGTGTCACCCCACCAGACCTACAAGTTGCTGTTAACACGGTTACACAGTAATAACAATACATCTTATTGGAGATCACTGTACTGTGTCACACTTCCAAGCCTACAAGCTCCTGTTACCACTGTTACACAGTAATAACTATGCATCTTATTGGAGATCACCGTACGGTATCATACCTCCAGGCCCACAAGCTCCTGTTACCACGGTTACACAATAATAACAATACATCTTATTGGAGATCACTGTACAGTGTCACCCCACCAGGCCTACAAGTTGCTGTTACCACGGTTATACAGTAATAACTATACATCTTATTGGAGATCACTGTACTGTGTCACACCTCCAAGCCTCCAAGTTGCTGTTTACACTGTTACACTGCAAAAACTACGCATCTTATTGGAGATCACCGTACGGTATCACACCTCCAGGCCCACAAGCTCCTGTTAACACGGTTACACAGTAATAACAATACATCTTATTGGAGATCACTGTACAGTGTCACACCTCCAGGCATATAAGTTGCTGTTAACACAGTTACACGGTAATAACAATACATCTTATAGGAAATCACCGTACGGTGTCACCCCACTAGGCATATAAGTTGCTGTTAACACGGTTACACAGTAATAACAATACATCTTATTGGAGATCACTGTACGGTGTCACACCTCCACGCATATAAGTTTCTGTTAACACGGTTACACTGTAATAACTATGCATCTTATTGGAGATCACCGTACGGTGTCACACCTCCAGGCATATAAGTTGCTGTTAACACGGTCACACTGTAATAACAATGCATCTTATTGGAGATCACTGTACGGTGTCACACCTCAAGGCATATAAGCTGCTGTTAACACGGTTACACTGTAATAACTATGCATCTTATTGGACTGACTGAGTTTAGTTTTACGCCGCTTTTAGCAATATTCCAGCAATATCACGGCGGGGGACACCAGAAATGGGCTTAACACATTGTGCCCATGTGGGGAATCGAACCCGGGTCTTCGGCGTGAAGAGCCAACGCTTTAACCACTAGGCTACCCCACCGCCCCGCATCTTATTGGAGATCACCGTACGGTGTCACCCCACGAGGCCTACAAGCTGCTGTTATCACGGTTACACAGTAATAACTATTCATCTTATTGGAGATCACCATACGGTGTCACACCTTAAGGCCTACAAGCTACTGTTAACACGGTTAGACTGAAATAAATATGCATCTTATTGGTGATCACCGTACGGGGTCACACCTCCAGGCCTACAAGCTACTGTTAACACGGTTACACAGTAATAAATATGCATCTTATTGGAGATCACTGTACAGTTGTCACACCTCCAGGCCTACAAGCTACTGTTAACACGGTTACACTGAAATAAATATGCATCTTATTCGTGATCACCGTACAGTGTCACACCTCCAGGCCTACAAGCTCCAGTTAACACTGTTACACTGTAATGAATATGCATCTTATTGGAGATCACCGTACAGTGTCACACCTCCAGTCCTACAAGCTACTGTTAACACGGTTACACTGTAAAAAGTATTCATCTTATTGGAGATCACCGTACGGGGTCACATCTCCAGGCCTACAAACTCCAGTTAACACGGTTACTCTGTAATAAATATGCATCTTATTGGAGATCACTGTACAGTGTCACACCTCCAGGCCTACAAGCTCCAGTTAACACGGTTACTCTGTAATAAATATGGATCTTAATGGAGATCACTGTACAGTGTCACACCTCCACGCCTACAGGCTGCTGATAACACGGTTACACAGTAATAACTATGCAACTTATTTGAGATCACTGTACTGTGTCACACTTCCAAGCCTCCAAGTTGCTGTTTACACTGTTACACAGCAATAACTATGCATCTTATTGGAGATCACCGTACGGTATCACACCTCCAGGCCCACAAGCTCCTGTTACCACGGTTACACAGTAATAACAATACCTCTTATTGGAGATCACTGTACAGTGTCACACCTCCAGGCATATAAGTTGCTGTTAACACAGTTACACGGTAATAACAATACATCTTATTGGAAATCACCGTACGGTGTCACCCCACCAGGCACATAAGTTGCTGTTAACACGGTTACACAGTAATAACAATGCATCTTATTGGAGATCACTGTACGGTGTCACACCTCCAGGCATATAAGTTTCTGTTAACATGGTTACACAGTAATAACCTTGCATCTTATTGGAGGTCACCGTACGGTGTCACACCTCCAGGCATATAAGTTGCTGTTAACACGGTTACACAGTAATAACAATACATCTTATTGGAGATCACTGTACATTGTCACACCTCCAGGCATATAAGTTGCCGTTAACACGGTTACACAGTAATAAATATGCATCTTATTGGAGATCACTGTACAGTGTCACAGCTCCAGGCCTACAAGCTACTGTTAACACGGTTACACTGAAATAAATATGCATCTTATTGGAGATTACCGTACGGTGTCACACCTCCGGGCATTTAAGTTGCTGTTAACACGGTTACACAGTAATAACAATACATCTTATTGGAGATCACTGTACAGTGTCACACCTCCAGGCATATAAGTTGCTGTTACCACGGTTATACAGTAATAACTATACATCTTATTGGAGATCACTGTACTGTGTCACACCTCCAAGCCTCCAAGTTGCTGTTTACACTGTTACACAGCAATAACTATGCATCTTATTGGAGATCACCGTACGGTATCACACCTCCAGGCCCACAAGCTCCCGTGACCACGGTTACACAGTAATAACAATACATCTTATTGGAGATCACTGTACAGTGTCACACCTCCAGGCATATAAGTTGCTGTTAACACGGTTACACTGTAATAACTATACATCTTATTGGAGATCACCGTACGGTGTCACACCTCCAGGCATATAAGTTGCTGTTAACACAGTTACACAGTAATAACAATACATCTTATTGGAGATCACTGTACATTGTCACACCTCCAGGCATATAAGTTGCCGTTAACACGGTTATACAGTAATAACTATGCATCTTATTGGAGACCACCGTACTGTGTCACACCACGAGGCCTACAAGTTGCTGTTATCACGGTTACACAGTAATAACTATTCATCTTATTGGAGATCACAGTACGGTGTCACACCTCCAGGCCTACAAGCTACTGTTAACACGGTTACACTGAAATAAATATGCATCTTATTGGTGATCACCGTACGGTGTCACACCTCCAGGCCTACAAGCTCCAGTTAACACTGTTACACTGCAATAAATATGCATCTTATTGGAGATCACCGTACAGTGTCACACCTCCAGGCCTACAAGCTACTGTTAACACGGTTACACTGGAATAAATATTCATCTTATTGGAGATCACCGTACGGGGTCACCCCACGAGGCCTACAAGCTGCTGTTATCACGGTTACACAGTAATAACTATTCATCTTATTAGAGATCACCGTACGGTGTCACACCTCCAGGCCTACAAGCTCCAGTTAACACGGTTACACAGTAATAAATATGCATCTTATTGGAGATCACTGTACAGTGTCACACCTCCAGGCCTACAAGCTCCAGTTAACACGGTTACTCTGTAATAAATATGGATCTTAATAGAGATCACTGTACAGTGTCACACCTCCAGGCCTACAAGCTACTGTTAACACGGTTACACAGTCATAACTATGCAACTTATTGGAGATCACTGTACAGTGTCACACCTCCAGGCATATAAGTTGCTGTTACCACGGTTATACAGTAATAACTATACATCTTATTGGAGATCACTCTACTGTGTCACACCTCCAAGCCTCCAAGTTGCTGTTTACACTGTTACACAGCAATAACTATGCATCTTATTGGAGATCACCGTACGGTATCACACCTCCAGGCCCACAAGCTCCTGTTACCACGGTTACACAGTAATAACAATACATCTTATTAGAGATCACTGTACAGTGTCACACCTCCAGGCATATAAGTTGCTGTTAACACAGTTACACGGTAATAACAATACATCTTATTGGAAATCACCGTACGGTGTCACCCCACCAGGCATATACGTAGCCGTTAACACGGTTACACAGTAATAACAATGCATCTTATTGGAGATCACAGTACGGTGTCACACCTCCAGGCATATAAGTTGCTGTTAACACGGTTACA